ATCCAGCATGCTGTGGGGCAAAGCGTGGACATCGTCGGAAACGACGCTAAATGCGCACGCGAATTTTAAACCACCTTTGCCTGTCTCCAGAGAGGAAAATGAATCAATCCACTGGAAATTAGCTTGGGGGCAATTGTGGGCATGAAGGCTTTCTCTACGAGTGCGGGGTCATTGGTTAATTGGTTCTCTCGTGGGTTTCGGTATGTGGACGATACCGTCGTCGTCAACGAACGGGACCAGGTGCTAACGTTCAAAGAACGTCTCAACAGCGTCTTCCCGGACATACAATTTACGATGAAGGAGGAAGAAAATAACCAGCTGGCATTCCTTGATGTTCTCGTCTGTCGTTAAGATTGTCGCGGCCTTGAGGCCAAAGTGTTCGGAAAAGCGACGAACACGACGCAAATGCTGAACTTCAACAGTAACCACCCAATCAACCACAAACACAGTTGCGTGAGAACGCCTTATCGGCGTGTTGAGACGCACTGCAGTGAACCGGAAGACAGGGTTGCCGAATCCCAATATGTTCGACGGGTTTTCAGAGAAAATGGTTACCCACGCAACTTCTTCAACCGGTGCCTGCGCAAACGAAACGAGCGACAAAGTCGTGACGATCCCGCATTCCGGCAAGCGATCCCGTCCATCAAGAACGTCTCCGAGACCGTTCGCCGCCTTCTTGCATCATTTGGGGTTGGAGTTGCACACCGACCGGAGGCTACCATAAGGCGTCAGGTGATGAAACCGAAAGACACACTGCCACGGCAAGAAACATCTGGTGTCGGTTACCGGATCTGGTGCAGATGCGAACAAAGCAACTACGTCGGAGAAACTGGAAGACTGCTCTGAACGCGAATTGCCGAACACGCGGCAGCGGTACGGAGAAATGACGTCAACTCTCAGGTCGCGGACCATTCGACGAGACCCGGTCACACATTCAAGTTCGATGACGCGGAAATTCTCGCGAGAGGGGATAACCGTGTGAGCCGCGAGTTGCTTGAATCATGGTTCACAGGACCTCAGTCTATCAACAAGTGCAACGACATCCCCACTCCATATTCCGTGCTGAGGTATAGGCTGGCCAAAGTAATTGACCACTGGGGGAGCGCGCATGCCGGTGAGCCAGATGGCCGATCACGCCAACATCCAACACGGGCGATGAGAATTCAGCAATTAACAGCTTGCATGCCGGCCATCAAGCAATTGGCGCACCAGCGGGCAACAATCCTTGATGTAGGGGAGCGCGGTTAATTGCTATAGGTATGCGGTAGCACAGCGACTGCATCCTACAAATACTGCAACTTCTGGTGCACGAGTCACCCGTTTCTGCCACTGTCTCTGATGATGGATTCAAGTGAGAATCCGAAACGTCAGGCGAAAAAAGCCCTTGTTCCAGCGATTGCTTCTTCTTCTTCTTCTTCTTCTTCTTCTTCTTCTTCTTCTTCTCCGTCTTCTTCTTCTTCTTCTTCTTCTTCTTCTTCTTCTTCTTCTTCTTCTTTCTTCTTCTTCTTCTTCTTCTTCTTCTTCTTCTAATTAGTCACCATTTTAATGAATTAGGGTGAAATGACTGACGATTTCCCGTGTCTACTTGTGTACTCTTAAGCGGCTGTTTATGTAGACATTCTCTTTGTTTCTAGATTGGACAAATCGCTTTCAAGGGCATCGAAAGACTGAATCCTATTCAGTCGATTGTCTTCGATGCCGCCTACAATTCCTCGGAAAATCTCCTCATCTGCGCTCCAACGGGCGCCGGTAAAACCAATACGGCGATGCTCACGGTGGTTCGCCTGATACGCGAGCATCTCAACGAGGATTTTGTTCTCGATCTGAAAGCCTTTAAGGTTGTTCTCCTAGGCCTGTTTGCTGCCTCTCGAACTGCGCACAGTCTCCGTACAGTCTCCTTTTTAAATTTCAGATAGTCTACATGGCACCAATGAAAGCCTTGGCCGCGGAGATGACAGCCACCTTCTCCAAACGCCTTAATCCTTTGGGCATCAAGGTGCGTGAGTGCACCGGTGATATGCAGCTGAGTAAACAGGAAATAATGGATACTCAGATGCTGGTAACCACGCCCGAGAAGTGGGATGTCATTTCTCGCAAGGGTGCCGGTGACGCATCTCTTGTCCAAGCTCTGAAATTACTCATCATAGATGAAGTACATCTCCTGCATGAGGACCGTGGTGCAGTCATTGAGGCCCTAGTTGCACGCACTCTTCGGCAGGCAAGTTTACCATTAAAATACAGTCTACTTGTAAGATAAAGGTAGCATGTCATTTAAACGTTTAATCGATCTGTCCCAGGTGGAGGTCTCCCAGTCGATGATCAGAATCGTAGGCCTGTCGGCAACCCTACCCAATTACGTAGACGTCGCTCAGTTTCTACGGGTCAACCTCAATCGCGGTCTCTTCTACTTTGACTCACGTTTTCGCCCAGTACCGCTGGGAATGTCATTTCTCGGCGTCACACCGCCCAATCGTCATAGTCAGGAAGAGGCAATGAATGAGGCCTGTTACCAGAAAGTGATTGAACAACTGCGCCAGGATGAACAGGTAATGTGTGTGTGCATGCAGTTGTCTCCGCATAAAACCTCAAGAGTAGTTCCTATTTTGACGTGAAAGTACTTTACAAGAAGACACTTTCTAGCCCACCCTTCAGCACGGCAAATCGTCTTGGTCATCTCAATAATTTTTTACCTCTTTTCCTTCCTCTCTCTCTCCGCAGGATGACCTGCCGACCCTTAGCGATGTTTCTAGCAAAGCTTCCTCTCATAAGCCCCATTTACCTAACTTCGAAGTAGCTCTTTATACCTATGTTTCAGAGACGCTCAATGGGTTTGCTTTGTTTTCACAAATGCACTATAAGGCGCTGTTTTTACATGTTTTATCGCAGGTGATGGTGTTTGTGCATGCCAGAGGCGAGACGTCCAAAACGGCCCGTTGGATTCGTGACACTGCTGTGCAGAGGGGCGATGTGGCGCACTTTCAACCTCTCGCAGCAAACACTGTGGATCTCTTCAAACGAGTGAGTCACCTTCCCCATCTTGTTGCTGTTGCTGTTGTTTTTATTGTTATTCTTCATCTTTATCTGGCTCCTCGCCTTCTTTAGCTGCCTCGTCTACCTAAACGCGTTTTATGCGTCAGATAAGCAACCTAGTACATAGTTTAGGTGTCAGCTCTCGAAATGTCTTTAGAGAAGAATGCCTGGGTCTGCCTAAAAATGAATAGCATAATCTTATTTTAATAGTTCGACCGTCGCCAATGACATCTGCCGATGGGAACTGCTTACGTGGTGTAGAGGTTTCCACCTGTCCCAGGTTTTTATTAGATCATGAAGTGGGATATTGGTCCACTAACTGCCTTCGAGTAAATGCGTGACGGATACTTTGTGATAGTTAGTAGGCAGTTTATAATACAGAACTCAAACGTAGGTCACCCGTCACGATCAACGACGTTCACCGTGCGCCCCGCCGAGTGGGCGCATCAACAGGCGACTTGCGCGTAAATTATTTTATACTAAGGGCAGAGATGAACCGCATCTACCGCTCTCTCGTCTTCCCCACCCACATGGCTTCGATGGCAAGGCAGTGTCAAGGCGACAGAAGGTGGGCTCGGCCCACTGACTGACACGTTCCACACACACACGCACACACCACCTGGTCTCCACAGTATGTGCCAGGTCTTCGTTTGTGCGGCTCGGATCGCACCTCAGTGGGGATGCCATAACGGCCACATAAGAAAGTAGTCCTTAAGTCTAAACCCCAGTCCTCTAGACACGACAGTTCGACCATCGATTTCGATGATGTCCACCGTGTGCCCCACGGCAGGTGGGAGCAGGGACGGTGACTTGCGCAGGGGTTTATAGTGCCGGTAGACTTGCGCTGCATCTACCTACACTCTCTCCTCCTTCCCCGCCTGAGTCCGGTGTCAAGACAGAGTCAAGAAGACCGGAGACGAGGGAGGCCGCAGGTGGATGGCTCGGACGGATCCTCACCTTGGCGTTCCACCACACCCTCTGGTCCACACAGCAATAACCAGGATTTCAACCAACACAACAGACATTTGGAGGCTGGCACGGCCGAAGCCGCACCTGGGCGTGCCGCCAACGCCTGGCTCAGATACCACACTGTGGTGAGAGTGCCATAAAGGCCACATTAAAAAGGAGCCATTGCAGCCTGACTCTCAGACCGCCTCCAGTCAAGGAGGAGGTCCAAGTCACCGCGTCAGTTGGCAACCTTCCAAGCCACGGCTTTTAGCGCACAGTGATAGCTTCAAGCGCATCAGATTGTTTATAGTGAGGAGAAAGTGCGCTGAGTCGTCGACCTCACTCTCCCTTCCCATCCCCACACCCCAGCCGCTGTCCGAGCCAGTCAGCAGACAGGAGTGGGCGATGGGCGCGGTGGCTGCCATGTCCGACTGACCATGCCTGCGCGCGCCACAGCGCGACTTGTCCCCCCATACACACACAAACACCAGGATTTCACACAACGGGGGTTGAGCGGCTTGTCTATCACTTGCGTGAGAGGGCCGTGGAAGGTGCTGCTTCAGCCCGTCCTCAGCCCACCATCCCGCCACTCCACACAACACACACACACACACACACACACACACACAACTGCGTGAGCCGAGAGCGGGCGTCGATCGGCAACCGTCCTATCCACGACACTTGACGTGTCGGGATAGTCTCGGACTCAAGTCACCCGTGCAGCCGAAGCCGCATGGGGACCGAGTCGAGATGCACACTTCCCACTTGCGTGGTAGGTGGCAGTTGGGTGCTTGCGATGGGTGCGTGTTGATGTGTGGTGGTGATGGTGGAGGAAGGTAGGGAGTGTGTGAATGTGTGGTGTAACCGGCGGTTGTCTACCGCAGGTCGTCGTGGATGCGCATGTGGCCGAAGAGACCCATGCGATGCCTGAAAGTGCGAGGACAGTGTGCGCAGTTGAGACGAGCGTGGTGGGCGTAGGTTGGTGCTCCAGGAACTGCTTTGCCAGTTTCTGTGCGATGGATTCACAAGTGACCGACCAGGCCGATGCGTGAGGTGAAAGTGCGTGAACAGTGTGGGCAGGTGAAGTCGGCGGCGTCAGTGTCAGCTACGGAGGAGGCGGTGATGGTGGTGGTGATGCGCGCGCAGGGCGATGGTGGGACTGGGCGTGCTGGATGAGCTGGGCGTCGTGGGTGTGTCGGAGTTGCGGTCAATTCCGCTCTCGTGGATTCGCATGTGGCCAAATAGGCCCATGCGATGCCCGAAGGTACGAGGGCAGTGTGGCCAGTTGAGTCGAGCGTGGTGGTACGGGTTGGTGCTCCAGGCACTGGTTCGCCAGTCTCTGTGCGATGGATTCGCAAATGACCGACCAGGCCGCTGTGAGAGGTGCAGGTGCGGTCGTAGTGAGGGCAGGTGTAGTTCTGATCCTCATCGCTGGAGTCGGGAGAGGTGGGGGTGGTGTCTGTTGTTGTGTTGGCGTTGGTGATATGCGAGACGGCCGCCTGAGCGGCCGCCGTTGGGGCAGTGGAGGAAGAGGAGGAGGAGGAGGGGGAGGGGGAGGAGGAGGTGGAGGAGTAGGAGGAGAAGGATGGAAGTGGTGGTTCAGAAGAATTTCCAGAGGTAGTTGTCGGCAGAGGGGACGAGGAAAAGGCGGGCGGGGGGACGATGGGTGGTGCATTCCGAGAGGCGCAGTTGATCCGAAGGTGTCCAACAAGTCCGATTCGAGCCCGGAATGTCCGTTGACACCGAGGACACGTAGGTAGCGGTTGTGCGTCGGCGTTGCTGACTGGGCGAAGTTGTGATTTGCGTGCTTCGCCTTTCGCTTTGGCGGCGGCGGTTCGGTTGGTTTCGTAGATCGCAGCGCCTGTCTTCACTGTCCTCCTCCAGGTCGGTCGGTCGAGTGCGAGCTCTTCCCAGTTGGTCAGGTTGATTTGCAGGCGCTTCAGGGGGGATTTCAGAGTGTCCTTGTAACGGCGAATTTGGCCTCCTTGGCGGCGAGAACCCGTCCCGACGTCTCCGTAGAAGAGTCGTTTGGGTAGTCGCTCGTCGTCCATGCGCACCAGGTGGCCGCTCCAGCGCAGCTGCATTTGCCTCATCATGGTGTAGTTGTCGAGGATTCCTGTCCGTTCGAGCACATCCGTGTCGGGGAACACACACACACACCCAGCACTGTCCACGAGGACCGCTCGCTGACTATCCATCGACCGCATTCCTATCTGGCATAATTTGACGCTTCTGTTCAACAACACGCGCACTCTGTTTGGACTGTCTCTCACGTCAGTGGTGGTGGTGCCAGTGGTGGTGGTGTTGTTGTCAGTGGTGCTGGTGGTGGCGGTGGCGTCAGTGGTGATGGTGGTGGTGATGTTGGCTAAGAAAAAGAAGAAGGAGGAGGAGGAGAAGAAGAAGAACAAGAGGAAGAGGAAGAAGGAGAATAAGAGGAGGGAAAAGAAGAAGATGAAGAAGAAGAAGAAGAAGAAAAGGAAGAGGAAGAAGAAAGAATAAAGAAGAAGAATAACAACGAAGAAGTTGGCTCACTCGTTTGAAGGGCTCAACAGTGTTTGCTGCGAGAGGTTGAATGTGCGCATAGCGGAGAGTGTGACTTATCACTTTTCTTGCTGGCATTTCATTCAGTGGTGTTCGCTACAGGTACATTTTTTGCGAAAAGCATGCATTTGGGTTTTTGGAAATGCCGACTAGTTTTTATGCTTATAAAAAAGTCCCGCGGGTTAGCGCGCGCTCTTAACGATTCCGGTTAACTACCTGCATAGACTCCCAGTGAAATAACCGCAGCCAGGTCTGCCTAAAGACTGTGCTATTGCCCGTCTTGTCGACGAACGGCGTCCTCAGTTACAGATTTTGGAAGGACTGCACTCAGCGGAGCCCCGAGAAATCGACTGGTAATGACCAAATTGATGCGATGTCAGCTCAGACCACCTAACATGACATTCAGCCACATATGTTTGTACAACCGGTTTCTACTACTAGCGAGGGACTGCCCACCGTGTCAAGAACTCAAAATTGCCTTTCAAGGTGTTGTTTTGCAAGCCTATTCATTTGACAGCTGAAATGTTTGAATTACTTGCTTAATATCCCTTTTTTTACCCAGGTCCCACACTGCCATGATGCCACCGTTCGTGAACTTGCTGTCCAGGGCATTGCCTGTCATCACGCCGGTATGCTGAGGCCCGACAGACGGCTTGTTGAACAGCTGTTCTCCAGTCGCGTTATTCGGGTTCTTGTATGTACCGCAACTCTGGCTTGGGGTGTGAACCTGCCAGCGCACGCTGTGGTTATTAAGGGCACGAAGATCTACGACGCCGACAAATCTGACTTTGTTGATCTTGACATTCTGGATGTCGTTCAGGTCAGCACGGTTGTTTACCACACATTTCGTACTACTTATAATTTGTAAGTAACCATGTTTTGGTTGATTTTAGATATTCGGTCGTGCCGGTCGTCCCCAATTCGATACTTTCGGCTTGGCGACTATAATCACAACCCGCGATAAATTGGATCATTATGTCAGACTGATTACAAATCAGGTTGCCATAGAGAGCAAGCTGCTGAGTAATATCAATGACCACCTTAATGCCGAGGTAATTGACTACCCTTCCTTTTTGACTAACTGGTTCAGATTGCCTTAGGCACTGTAACGAACATAGATGAGGCTGTGACCTGGCTCTCCTACACATACCTCTTTGTCCGACTCCAACGTTCGCCGTTGAACTATGGAATTACTCCCGCAATGCTCCAGGCAAGATATTTTTGCCTTATACTCAATTTGATCGTCTTTGTGACCTCTCGCTCGAACCATACCATTCCTCTGGTTGAATTCTCCAGAGGCAGACCTGAATACGCCTAATTATAATGCTTTCGGTTGTTGGGTAGTATCTAAGTGGCAGCCAAACATTGTCTTGGTTACTCATAATCTTTTAGTAGCCAATATTAACCATATGTGCCTAATTCGCACAGCAAGTTATTCAACATGGCTTTGCTCACAATAGTATGGCTGAAGCGCTCTTGAAATCGTACGGTGCGCTATAAGTGATGGCTTGAAGAGTTTGTATTTGAGGTACTAACTTTACCCGCTCTTGAATTGAGTGTCCGCATGCAATAGTTCCTTCTTAGTTTGGCCTCTGTAGCATTCATTCGCGTGTGATCCAATACCGGGAAGTATTACTGATTGCGATATGAACATTACCGGCTTTGTAGCCGTCCCAATCTCCAGGTTCTGATGTACTTGAGGTCTGAAGCCAGGCCCATTAATAATCGAATAAAGCTCTCACAAATGCGCCACGATGTCATGCAATGTCGCATTGGACGACGATTACCACTCTTATGCAGTTGAAATCCAAGGCTCTTTTCCTTAAGCTGTTGATGGACATCTGGAAACCTGGATCTGTGTGATACGTAGACACCGAGATCTAAACACACTAATAATTTTCTCCATGCCTATTTATACTCGTCCTAACTTCTTGCCACTTAAGTCATCTAATTATGTTTTTGAGTATCTTAATTGGTGCTCGAAAGTTACTTTAAGCTGTTTCGGGGCCAATATAAGCAAACATCTGTCCAGTCAGCGCGAGGAACCAAATGTAGCTTATATGTGTTAATTTAAGAAAGTTGTCCAGTTCACTTTTTGTTCCCAGTTTAGCAGCAGTATTTTGAGTTCTGCGTAAGAAACCCTGATGTGCTTCCCTATCAACAGGAAGACCCCGATTTCACACACTTTATGACCAGTGCCCTGCGGAAGGCGGCACTTGAATTGGACAAGGCTGAAATGGTGCGCTATGAGGAGTCGACTGGTCAACTGGCCTCCACGGACCGTGGACGAACTGCCAGCCTCTACTATATCAAGTATGAGACGGCCGCGCTTGTCAAAGATGCTATGCATCCGTTGATGCTCATCGCCGACCTGTTCGCGCTCATCAGCCAGGCAGAAGAGTTTTCGTCAATGAAGGTTCGTACCCCACCCCTCCCCCCCCCCTTGGTGTCCTTTTGACACTAGCTGCCCATCGAGTGCAAAGTGACTACAGCCTATCTACTGAAACATAATTAGTAGGCATGTTTTTGTATTTTGCATAGGTCCGTGATGAGGAGGAGAATGACCTGCTGGACCTCCAGGACAACGCTTGTCATGTGCCTGTAAAGAACCCGGGCACTGTGGATTCGAACATTAAAAAGAAGATAAATGTTCTCCTGCAGGCCTACATCAGCCGCCAGCAACCGAGAACACACTCTTTGATCTCTGACATGAACTACATCCAGCAAAATGCCGGGCGTCTGGCGCGATACATGTTCGAAATCGCCGTTCGGCGCGGATGGGCGGTGGTTGCTAGCCATGCGCATCGTCTCTCGAAGGTGAATTTTTGTGTGAATTTTTCTGTTTTAAGATGTGTGAAGGCTACAGTTCACTACCTTACCTACGTGAGGTCACGAAACGACCTTGTAACGCATGCACCGTCCATCCCGCATCCCCAAAAGTTATACTGCATTAAAACCGATCATTATTCGAAAGAACGCAAGTTTGGTTTGCAACTTACTGTCTATTAACTAAAAGCAACATATTTTACCTGAAACAACCAAATCAAGGAAACGAATTTATGACAAGTAACTGACAGCAGCGGACGGAAGTATAATACAAGCATCAACAACTGCAACGTATTTCTACTTTGTTGATTGTTCTCCTGCTTTAAAATTTGCCGTTTATTGGGAGGACATAGGAACTACTACGTTGTCTATGGTGGTTTGTTCTGTCCAATCATGAAGCGCAAATCCAGATTTTCCAGCATCGAACAATGTTTTCTTGCTTTTTCACTATTTTGCCTGTCAATCGGATTGAGACAGGGGCTGCTAGGAAAAATTGAAAATGCCTTTTAGGCCGCAAACGGAGTGGCACAAACACCTAAATTCTAGTCGTAAGATAAGTCAGAATCAAACCTTACTTAAGCGGCGAATAGGAGGATTATTCTGCAACATTACGTTGTCCCCAAGACGTTGGTGAATGCCGCTGTAACCAAAGACATCCGTTACGATGTTGATGAACATCTTGCTATTGATGGTCTCCGTTGTCCATCGTCAGATTAATCGCTTTCTGTATTCAGCGTCGTCAGGTCTTGAAAGTTACTGTCGGCACAGTTTGTTCTCGCCGAAAGTTCTTCCCACTTGTGACCGCCTGACCCGACTTCAGAGACATGTCTAAAAATGAGACCTTGCTATTACAGTAAACATTTTATTTCAGAATGAACATCTATGGCCAGTATACTCTTGAGCAAGCAGAAAACTTTTTTCTCGGGGGATTTGACTGATGAGGACCGAATTTTTTCATCCCTTTTCTAATTATGCGCTGCGGAAAGATTGACAAATGCCAAAAGGAGACGAGATGTCCACTGGTAGAGGTTCATTAGCGGTCTGACCTTTCGAGTAGACTAGAAAATCATACGCCTAGCTATCACTATATGGCGCATCGGGTTTGATGCGTAACCCGCCACTGCCGCCGGTGTGGCTGTATTCGACCCCTCATTTCACCATGACCTGTGTCTGCATCGCCCTCGCCGGCCGCGCGGAAATGAATTGCGGGATGTGGAATTACGTTGAGAAAACCGTCAAACGGCTGTGGTCGCGAATACACGAGCATCAGCCGGGCGGGCAAAAGTTGACCCGAAATTCGGACGTGGCAACCCATGCTGCGCAAATGGAACCGCTTCCTGCGCCCAGCGGTTCAGTCAGTTTCACTTTCCATCTCTCTCTCTCTCTCTCTCTCTCACTCTCCCACTATATGTATGCCACTCTGCCCAATGAAATTTCCATCACGAGATTTCATCAGTTAGGTCATGTGCTGTGCATCAGGACATAGAAAGAATGGTCGGGTCGTATTTCGTAGCCGCACCTGCACTAGACAAGCCCCGGCCTCATGTCATACGGGACCGGTGGTAATAAGGGGTTTAACACTAACCAACAACCCTAACCCCACCATCTACCCCTAACCCCTAATCCTAACCCCTAACCCATAACGTCTACTCCTAACCCTAACTCCGAAACCTAATCCTAATCCTTACACCTAACCCCTGACCCTAAAATCTAACACTAACCCCAACCGTAACTTTTAACCCATAGCTTCTAACCCTAACTCCTAGCCATAACTGCAACACCTAACCCTTATCCTTACACCTAACCCTAAAACCCAACACTAATCCCTAACCCATAACACTAGCCCATAGCCCTAACCGCTGACCCACAACCTCTAACTCCAACCCCTAAGTCATAACCTTAACTCATACACCTAACCCTAACTCCTACACCTAACCCCTAACGGTAAAACCTAACACTAACTCCTGATCCTAACCCCTAACACGAAATAAGATCTTACTGAAAGAATCTTGCATTCAGTCTGTTTGGTCGGTTTTTTCGTGCTATACTGGGTGTCGATTCATTCCCCCCACGCCTTCATTTCGGTTGAACAGGCGTACATTTTTACAGGCATTTTATCGCTTAGAGAATTTATGGCCTGCGGAGCATGCGAAATTCACATGACTTTTTGGCTTTCTGAAGTCTTTGATAGCTTATATTGGTTTAGTTTGATGACGTGCGGGCCGTTATTGGTACTTTTAAGAAAAAATCCACTCCCGAGCCTGCCTTTTAAATGTCCTCTCCGACATGTGCAGAATGCAACTTCTACCACATACATACCTAAGGGGGCTGCAACTTTGTCCATTTTCCCAATTCCTTGCAGATGATTGAACGCCAGATGTGGTATGATGATTCACCTTTGTGGCAAGTCGTTCCTCCAGGAAAAAGTCGCCTGGTAGAACGGGTCGATGAAATGGGCATCACCGTTGACCGCATTCGTGAACTTGGCGCGAACGAACTAAGTATGTCCACAGACTCCCAGTTCTTTGCTGCTGACTGGAAATCGACACGACTGGTAAATGTTGTATTTTTTTCGATTTTGCAGAAGATATTCTTCGGTACGAGGGCAAAAATGGAGCACAGGCTGTTTTTGAGATGGCACAATGCATGCCTGTTCTGCGAATGTCCGTGGACACACAACCCATTACCCGCAACATAATTCGATGCCACATTAAACTAGAACCGGATTTCAAATGGGTACTTTCGCAGCATGGACAACAACTAATTTACTGGATTTGGATTGAGGATCCGGAAGAGGCCACCATTTATCACTCGGAAGTATTTACTCTTCAGAAGAAGGCGGTAAGATTGTGCTTAAAAAATGAAGTAATTTCGGTCAAAATCGGTGTGCTGCTGGTCTCTTTCTGAACATGCATACACATATTGCATGTCTACTGACAATTTGTTAGTAACCATTATTAACCAGTTTCGATTAACCCCTAGGCCTTGTCTGGCGAACCGGCTGAGCTAGACTTCACCATCCCCGTGCATGAACCTATTCCTCCGCAGTATCTGGTTCGATGTATGCCCGATCGATGGCTAGGCGCCGAATCGGTGGTCCCTGTTATCCTTCGAAACATCCTCCTTCCGCAGACTGATCCTCCACACACCGGTATGCCACCCGTTCATGCCCATGCTATTGATGCCCTTTCGTAGTTTCAGTGTTTACTGAGAAAATCGATAAAAGTTATTTTTTAAAAAGCCTTCTTTCACCTTTTTCATATGTTCAACTACATTGCTCGATGTCTTCTCCACAGACTTGCTGAATCTCGATCCCCTGCCTATTACTGCCCTGAAGAACCCCAAATACGAAGGCATCTTCAATTTCACCCACTTCAACC